ATTAGGGTGACTTCTATTCTGATATTTCTCTCTATATAGAAAGTTGGTTGGCAAGCTTAATTCTTTTACTCATACCAGACTAGATCTCTCCTATGCTATACAATCCTTGAGTCAATTTAAGTTTCAAGCTAGGAACGGTATTGAAGAATCTGATTATGCTCAACAACATGCCACCTAAGCAAAGTTAATTATAACTTTAATTCTAGAATTTTCATCTCTAACAAACTATTAGCCAAGAGCTTGTTACTTCAATTATTATAAATACTGTAATTCGAGATAATGCTTTATTACAATAATCACAATATTCTTCTCTCTAACATCAATACACTATTCTCTCTCTCCTTCTCTCTCCAGTTCTTTAATTTTCAGGAATTTTTCAATAGAAGATAAATTACAATAAACCCTAACCCCAATTAAGAAGAAAATTACAATAAAGATAAACCCTAAGTCTAGAATTATTAATCTATGAGTAATTAGTTGTTTAATTTATAATAGAGTGAATTATTTAACAATAAATATTGCAAAATACTTTAAACGGTACATCGCCGGCGCTAAATTTAACCAGGACAATATATTCTCATTAGAACAATAAATTATAAAATCCGTATGAAGATGCAATTGTCGGAATTATGGCGTTAAATTAGAACAACTAATGGTGCAGTGAAAGTGCAGAGATGTAACCTTGATTTATAATAAACTTAGAGGTTGTTAGAGTCTCATTCGGCAGTGTTGTATCTTGCCGAGAGTTTACTTCCTCGATTCTTCTCTTTGTCGCAAAATATACAACGATCATAGTAATTGATGTTTCCATGATAAAAGACATGTTTTTCATTTCGTCACTTACCGCCCTTAGCTTGTTCGGGAATCATGCCATCAAAATCGCGCTTAGAGACTCGGCAGGCGGAAAAGGCCAAAATATATCCCCCCCTTTACCTTCTATATCGCCGCTCATTTGAATTTTTAGATTTATGACACGTCGCAATCTTAGCACATATGTATATATGGAGCCCACATATATAAGATGCATGCAATGTTTTTTTTTTTTTTTTTTTTTTTTTAAATTTTCTTTGGTAACACTATACTTTTTATTTTTCTCATCGTTAAATTACAAAAAAAAAACTTATTATCTTTGGTAATCTTGTATTATTGATTACCAAAGATAATTATTATCTTAATTAAAATTCTTAACCATGGTTAATTTTTTAACAATTTTAATAACTATTTTATAAATAATTAAAAAAAAAAACAGATTTTCACCATATACCACTGAGTTTTAACTTAATTCACCATATACCACCAAAAACTTTCTAATACACCATGTACCACTGAGTTTAATATAAATGTCACAACATTCCTTTAATGACTAGCGTCATTAACTCCGTTAGTAAATAAGGTTAATTGTGCCAGGTAGCTGTCACTTATTAGTTCTTATTAATATTATTTAATTAATTACTTAAATAATGAATTAAAAAACTTTTAAAAAATTAAATAAATAAATTAAAAAAACCACCACCAACCTAGCCACCGCTGCCCCCAACCCAGCCTTGGTCGGCGCCTAGATGGTCGGCGTCCATCACCCTTCCCCCACCGGCGAAAACCCCCGCCCCCAACCCTCTCCTTTCCCTCCTGATCCTTTCCCCAATTTCCACAACCCCACCACCAGTTTACCTCCCAACCACCCTCTCACCTACCAGCAGCGCCTTCCCCACCCCGGCAACCGTCCATACCGGCCCTCCATCGCCGGTCGACCCACCCCCTACCTTTAATCCTTACCTCGACCCTCTCCCTTCCTCCATCGTGCCACTAGTCAAACCCTAATCCACGAAATCACTCCCTAACTCCAACAAAAAACCCAATTTTTTGTACTTTTCGCTCCTCCAACCTGGTCGATTCTTCTCGTGGGTGGGTTTTGGTGTGGTTGAAAGGGTTTCGGGGGTTGTAGGTAGATTTTCGGGAGTGGTGGTTGGTTTTAGAGGTTGTGGGTGGTTTTCAATTGTTGTGGTGGGGGTTGTGGATGGATTTTCGGGAGTGGTGGTGGTTTTCAAGGGTCGTGGCTAGGGTGAGGGGCGGCGCCGGCGCAGAGGAAGGGGAGTTTGGGCGCCGACGGCATGGTGGAAGGCAAGCTCAGGGCGGTGTGGGGGGCGGGGAGGATGGCTGACTGGCTGGGCTTGGGGTGGTGGGAATTTTTTTTTTTTAGTTTCTTTAAATTTTTTTTAATTATTAAAATAAGAACCACTTAGTTAACATTAATAACTAACAAACCTAGCAGAAAATAACATGTTGTGACATTTATGTTAAACTTAGTGGTACATGATGAATTAGAAAGTTTTTGGTGGTACACGGTGAATTAAGTTAAAACTCAGTGGTATATGGTGAAAAAACCGTTAAAAAAACCACCAGCTCCCCACCCAAACAAGCTACCCTCCCTCTCCCCCGACCAGCTCCCCTCACAAGCCCCATCCTCCTGTCGGCCAACCCCACGCCGACGCCCACCCCCCACTGCGAGTCACGCCCACCAAACCTAAAACACCCAACCAAAACTACCCAAATCCTTATTGATTCTTCAGGATTTCATACGTCATCTTCACAAAATCAGGCTGCTGCAAACACTTACAAAAACGGCACCAAATTAAATAATTGTATCTCTTAGCCAATCAGATTTAAGGTCAACAGTTTTATGGGCATCGGTTAAGGCATCGGAAAAGTTTTCGAGAGAAGCGCAAGCAACGGATCGATTAGAGTAAAAAACATGATTTATGAGGGCGAGAGAAATAGCGTTGGAAATTTTTTAATTACTCACCGCGTAGGGATCGTGAAGAGGTAGGGGAAAAGGGAGGGGGTGTCAGGGTAAGGCTTGTTGGCCGAGAGGAGTCCTAGCGCCGGTCGTAGGAGTGGGACTGGGCGCCAGAGAGGGGAGGGGAGGAGGGCTGGCAGTTGTAGGGAGGATGGGTGGCTAGCCTAGGTGGAAAGGAGGTAGGGATGTCAATGGGGCGGGGCGGATGTTGGTCTTCCCATCCCCATCCCCATCTAAAATTTTCATCCCCATCCTCATCCCTGCCCCGGCGGGTATAATTCCGAAACCATCCCTGCCCCAACCCCCACTTGGATATCCACCCCCACCTAATCCCCATCTAAGACCCGCCTAATCTCTGCCTTTCAAATACACAATCCTTCATAATTAATAAAGATTGCAAAAAAAATTATTGTTAATATTACACATTTTTTTGTTTATAATATAAGTGTATTACAAAGTATTATATTTACTATTTTATTTTACATAATTTTTTTTATAAAATAGTATAAAAGTATATAATTTTTTTTTTAAATATATGGATGTGGGGATGGGGCGGGTACGAAGTGGGGCCGGTGGGGCAGGGCGGGTACAACCTAAAATCCACCCCCGCCCCATCACCCATGGCGGGTATGGTTTTTATCCCCATCCCCGCCCCATCACCCGCCAAACCAAGACCCATCCTCGCCCCGTTGGGGCGGAGATGGGGCGGGTCTCCTATTTGACCCGCCCCACTGACATCCCCAAAAGGAGGTGGTATTTTTTAAAAAATTATTAAATTGTTAAAACTTTAAATAAAAACCTATTTTATTGTTTTTTAAAAAAATAATCTAACTATAGTTAACTATTTATCGAAAATGTTATCATTTTTTTTATAAATAACTTAATATAATAATTCATAAATACCAAAGATAATACGTTTTATTTTTATATTTTGCAATTTACCAACCATTGCTATGCAATATAATGTGTCAGCTTCTTATAAAAAAATTTCCCTCCAAATAAATGATATCATTCTTCATTTTCTCCATATCAAGATAAAGCTAATGTTTGGAAAAGGTAGATTAATTATACATTCTAAAAGCTTTTGTGACTAAATTTTACTAACTACAAAATTTCATATCGAGGTAAATAATAAATTACAAAATTTTATATGGAGGTAAATAATAAAATTATAAAATTGGTGGTTGGTCTCTTTTGTTTTCCTTCTTTCTCCTTTATAGATTTTATTTCCTACATTTTGTTAGTGATGTCATGAGTTTGAATTTTCTACTCTTATTAATTCTTCAAATTTTTTTATAATGAAACAAAAACCACTAAAATGATATAATGCAAACATTTCATATATTTTATTTTAATTATGAAGTTAATTAGAATATTTAACATCATTTCTTTTTTATTTGAGCTCAATTTATCTAATAAGAGAGATCATTATTTATTATGTTTTTTTCTTAAATTATTTATATTACGCACATAGCAGCAAAAGTTTTATTGCTAAAACCGTGCATCACACGGGACTAACCTAGTTATTACTAAAACAAGACATCATCAACCCTCAAACTATCCTACGTGTCATCCTCCAATTTTATGTGTGATGTCATCAATTATTAATGATTTTCAATTTTTATTTTTAATTTACACTTTTGACTTCAATACATAAGTGTCTATATAAATTTAATTAACCAAGTTTCTTTCCTAAATTATAGTTTCACATACTTAATTTGTTTTGACATCTGATCGTGGTTTAATTTTGTTTACTTTCCTTAAATAGATTTTTTATTTTTTATTATTTTTTTATATTTAATTCTAATCTTCATATACAATGTAATACAACAGAACATAAATTACAATAAAGATTAATTCTAACCATGCATCGCACGGGGATAATCTAATTTAGTAAATAGAATATAAATTACAATAATGATGTCATAGGTGTGGCTATGTCACGTTTTATTCCTCCGTAGTAGTAATTTGTTTTTGTTCTTTGGGGCTTAGCCCTCGTGTGCAAAATAAAAAAAAATGAAACGGGTGAAGCATCAAATTAACAACCGTATAATTAAAAGGGAGTCTCACTGAATGTTAATCTCATCTCACAACTTTATGCATATTTTTTTGTGTCACTTTACTTAAAGTAAAACAATATATCGTGAGAGGAAATATATTTCTTTATCTTAGAAATAAACTTGAATTTTCCCATATAATAATTCCAGAACAGTATAGGACGGAGTAGTATCAAAGGATTCTTGAGCTTTTCACAAGCACCCTCCCTGTCTCTTTCCTCCGCTGAAGCGGCTACTCTGAATTCTCATTTGAACCAGCTTCTGAGCTTTCTCTCCTCCATTGAAGCCTTGGTAAGATGTTTTTCATAACCATTGAATAACAGTTTCACAATCTAATGACAATCATTAATTTAATTTAATTCAATTCATGGTTCTTTTAAGGTGGATTGCTTATTGAACTGTTTGTTTATATAATTTCATTACTGAAGTGCTAGAATTTTGGTATTGATATTCTTAATCTGATGATTGAGTCAAATTTGTTTGTTATTGTGTTGCTAAACCCTTGAATGTTAGGATTGAATTATGAAAATGGAATTTTTCTCCGTGGGCCGAGCTCGGCCGCCCCTTTTTCCCTGTCTCAGGGACGGGCGTCCGAGTAGGTGCAAGGCGGCGATAAAAGCCAACAAAGATGGTAAGTTTTTTTTAGCAACCTGAGTTTTTTTTTTTTAATGGTATACCGGCATACATTTATCCATATGACAGTATGGTTGCATTGCATAGTGTCTATTTATGCAATAGCCAATAGTTTTGTGAAGATAATACGCCACATGGGAGTTGGGACTAGTTGTCTTACCTCGAAGATGAGGAGGGACTAGGGAGGATGACTAAGTTATAACTATTAGTACGAGTTTGGTTTCCATAGTCAATTGGTTTTAAGATGACATCTTGTTAAAACTCTTCTCCTATGTGAGTTTGGTTTACTGAATTAGGAAACTTAAAATGCAAATATTTTTGTTTGAAAGCTAATGAATTTTATATTTTTTTGTGTACTATCGATTACAAATGGTATGAATATAGAGAATGTCAGAATTTCTATGGTTTTTGATGAAGATTTTAGGAAGATAAGGTTATTTGTGACTCTAAAGATCTTTGAGAAGGAAAACTTACTGGTCTTATGGAGAGAACGTTTTCTTGAGTTCCTCAATTTTCAAGAATTCGAAAAAGGAAATGGGAGCTTCATGAGGTGCATCAATGGCTGCAGCTTCTAAAGCTCTTTTTTAAAAAAAATGTACTTTGTTAAGCATAGAATGATACCAACCAGTACATAATCTTTTATTAAGAAACATACTACATCCTTTCCTTTCAGATGCAGTTCTTTTTGTGTAACAGGCAAATGGGAGTCTGAACATCAGTCAATGCTATTTCTTGAGGAAACCCAATTGAATCGAAGACAGTTATGTACTGCAGCTTCATTGGTGGCCATTTTAACATTCCAACAGGGTATGATATCAGAACCAGTAAAAGCTGTAGATAAAGCTGATGATAATCAACAAGATGATGGTGTATTGGGCCCTATTAAATCATTGTTTGATCCCAATGAAAAAACAAAGTCAGGCAAAGTGTTGCCAAAAGCCTATCTAAAGTCAGCCAAGGAAGTTTTGAAAACGCTTCGAGAGTCCTTGAAGGAGGATCCACAAGATATGTCTAAATTCAGACGAACTGCAGATGCTGCAAAAGAATCTATTCGAGATTACTTAAGTAACTGGAGAGGGCAGCAAGCTGTAGCCAAAGAGGTAGGTGTTTTATGATAGTATACTTGCAGCACACTGCAAAATTTATCTCTCAACTTTTCTTTTGATGTATCACACTTCCAAACACTACTAAGTTTAAGATTTATAATGAAGACACAGCCAAAGATAAATAATATTAGTACCACTGAGCATTCTGCTAAGAGGTGTTATGGTCTTGCAGGAATCTTATATGAAGCTGGAGGAAGTATTTAGATCGCTTGCTCGCTTTTATTCAAAGGCAGGTCCATCAGCTTCACTCAGTGGTGAAGTCAAGTCTGAGATCTTGCACGATTTAGATATTGTTGAAGAATACTTGTAGCTGGACAAACTTTGCCTGTGTAGTTTGAATCCCTGTTCTTTGTGTATAGTACATTCTTACTGAAAGAGCTGTAACCGTTTTCTGCTACCTTTTGACATATTTCTTGTCGTCCAACCAGACTCACAACTGGTATGATTTATATATTAAGGTGGATTCCGGCATAGCTGTAACAGGCATTCCGTTTTATGATTTTGCAATGTACTAGTAACCTGATTTCTGGCTTTAATGCCTCAAGTTGTTGCTGATATATACTCCCTTTGTCCAAAATTGTAAAATTAACTTCATTTTTTTTGTCCCAAAAATATGGTCACCTTTCTAAAATTAGTTAGGACTTACGATGATTTTCCAGATATGGCACCATTTATAGAGATTTTATTTTGTTATTTTAATAATACTACGTATCTTTAATCAAGAGGTATTGGGACAAATTTTTCCTTTATTTTATATAGAGGAAGTAGATAGTTGCCAGCATGATTATTCAGTCAGACTGAGTGTCTGAGTGCATCAGTAGGAAACTTAACGATTCAAGGCTTTGCATAAAACAGTTATTGTAGTCGTGCAAGCCCTTAATGTAATGATTGATACAAATTGACAAATTGTATATCAAAACAGAAATTTTAAGGTCCCAGCTTGCTGCACATTGATAAATTACATGAAGCCCAATCTGAGGACAGAAAATTTAGATACAATTCTACAGACATGTTTACTGAATTTGAGTGTAATACCCAAGTGCATACAATAGTAATACCACGTTTAACTTCTACAAAGTTGCTCAGATCACCTACAAATAAAAATAAAAATAAAAACCAGATCTATAGTTCACTTAAATTTGTGATCCTTGCCTTCGCATTCCAACAACATTACTGGCAAATGTAGCACACCCTTAGTGTGCACTTAAATGTCAAGCGACATAATGATCTGTCTGAACCGAAAAAATAATCAGGCTTGCTGCTGGAGACACTTAGATGAATACTTTAAGAAGTTGAGGCATCATGTAGGTGCAGAAGCAATGGAAATTGCCTTGGGCACAACTCCTGGATGAACTTCTCATCAAGCACGTGATAGAACCCCTTTTGAACTGGCCAATCAGAAAAACACAATAAGACATCTTGAAAATACATCCTACAAGGCAAAGCTCCAGACAACAATGAGTATCCAAGAAACTGATTGCCAATTTCCAGTTAAAGCATATTCATGGAGGTGAGAAGTACAGTTTCCCTCCCATCCTTAACAACAGTGTATATAATACAATGAAGAGCACAACCACAACATTTTTTACTGTTCATCATATAAAAAAATTACACCTTTCATGCAACTACTCATCCTCTATCTACTTGGACACTCTGAAAGTACCTTTAGGGTTTACCCTCATTCGCACTTTCCTAAGACCTTGAAGCCTCATGGTTACTACATCATGAATACATAAGACTACCAATATTTCTACTAGCAAATTTCTGCACATGTTGATACAGGAGACCAGAACTAAAACATAGGACAACATATCATGTTACCCAATTATGTAACAGGGTGCAATGGTAAACCCCATCAGCATTTAATGATCATTTGTATTAACACCGATCCACGCGCGGGGGGGGGGGGGGGGGTGGATTGGAAGAGGGCAGAAGTTAGTTAAAACACATCATATGCAACGAAATCCGGGGGAACATATTATCCAAACATAAAAAAAAAAAAAGTTCATAATGGCTGACTCAGGTGTGAATTTCGTAGGGCGATAAGTCTAATATCAGCTATGTTTATTTTGTGCTAAAAATTACAAACCTTGGTACTGTCCCTGCACGACGGTAATCATATTCTGTAGCCTGCCTGAGAGCCCTGGCAAAGGCCTTGAAAGTTGCCTCAATAATGTGGTGAGAATTTTTTCCAGCAATCTGTGTCATATATAAACCTTTCTTTCATCAATAAAAATGAAATGTCAATACTTTCTCAATTGCTCAAAAAATGATGAAAGCTGAAGGCCTGAAGTTTTTGTTTGTTTTTTTTTTTTTTTTTTAATACAACGAGCAATCATTGTTCATTTCAATATTTTTATTATATTTTTAAGCTAATAAATTATATTAACTGTGAACTTTGACCTCTAACTCTGTAAATATCATGCCTAGCTTAATTAGGCAATTACCCATGTCCATCACGTAACCCAGCTTGAACAAAATGAATAGTTGGGTATGATCTTTGACAAATAATAAGAATAAAGGACATTATAAAGCTTCAACATCTTGTTTAATACCTGTATGAGCATGATTAACATAGCTTGTGACTAGTATGCATAACATTCATTTACAAAAGTTTCTAAATGCACCAATGATGCTGGATTATTATCTAATTTGGCTGCTAGTGTAAGAAAGAGTGCAAACCTGCCGAATGTGAAGCGTCATGCCAGAAGTATTCACCAAAGACTGGAAAAAGTGCTCCACAAGCTAAATACAGAGACCTCATGGTAAGTTATACATTTCATTCTTGCTTATAAACAACAAAGGGAGGAAAAAAAAATGCAGGACAGCCAGCCAAAATGAATTAGTTTTTCAAAGTTCTTATATGTGATAGTGAGAAACACATTATTAGATTAAGTCATCTTAGCGTAATTGGATAGGATAGAAGGTGTTCAGTCTATATGCAGCTTATGTTAAGTAAAAACATTATGATCAGGCATTTAACTAGCAGAGCTATCACATAAGAAGGCCAACTTGCAAAAACGCTATCTTCACAAATTATTTACTTCCAAATTTAGGTTGCAAGTTGAAAGCTTATGACTGAATAAACAGAGAGGGGGGGGGGTGGGGGGGTGGGGGAGTAATATAATCAGAATAAGAGATGAGTGCAGTTAGGTAATCCAAGTTTTAAAAGAGTTGACACTCTAAGCAAATTTGCTTTCCAACTAACAAAAGTGCAGGTGGGACAAAACCAGCCTATTTTTCCAAAATACAGGCATTAAACTTTTGACATTATAAACTGATATCTTAATAATAAATATTCACAGGCATTAAACTTTAGACATTATAAATTGATATCTTAATAATAAATATTCAAAAAAAATTTATGTACTGCTTATCCCAACAATATATAAGTCATAGATGTATAGAAGTAACCTGGGTATCATAAGTTCCGACTCTCTCAGTAGGTATTTGTAGATCACAACTCAAGTGGGGTCTTCCAGATAAATCCTGAAAAAGAAACATGTGTGCCTCAAAAGCTCAATAAACAATCGAAGCAACTCAAAGGAACTTGAAGCTTTACAAATCGCAATAAAATGTATACATTTTTCATCATATCAAATAATCTATTATTCAGGCAAAACATGATGAATCTTCAATGGGAGTAGCTTTTTTCCCATAAGCCATGGTATATGATAATATTATCATGGAAAAAAAAAACATACACACCCGTTAAAAAGTCAAAAGCAACAGTTTTCCATCTTCATTAAGTAACTGAACAACAAACAACATTTCAAAAATATCAACAACCCAAAGTGTCATGGCAGGACAAAACAAAGACAACGAGATCTAGCATTGGCTCATCATCCTGTTGTTTCAGAGCGAAGGGGTTGAGAAAAATCAGATCCTTCACTTTGCTTCTTAATGTCTTCTGGTTTCTCGAAGTTCAGACATTCATAGCAACAATGCAAGAAAGAAAACCATTATATAGATTTACCCCAACAGATCAGAATATGCATATTTCACGCCAAGCACAGATAATGTTTCAAATAACTAAGTCCTTCAACCACTCACTGTCATAACTCAAAAACTGGTTTGAGGAATACTGATAAATTTACAGCAAACATGTTCATTCATAGAAGTCACAATCAGCTAATTTTTAACCTGTGACCCCCCTATAAAAAAGTACTGTTCATTGACAGTGATGCTACTTTTCTCAGACATGAGAGTGCCATATTTTTTTTTTGCCTCAATTATTTAGGGACCATGAGAAATTTGGTGATTCCTTCTAATGACATATTTCTTCAAACAAGTAGGAAGATTTATTACCTAGTTTGCATAATGAAACAAGCACAGAGAAATCTCTAATTTTCTTATGGCTAATTTTAGTCAATTTAAAAGAAAGGCAAAAAGGTATGGTATGTGTTACTGACTCAACTCTTGTTTAGCATTTCCAAAATTATAAATTCTCGTCCTCCAAGTTTAAAGTCTTTTTGCAGAGTTACAACTGGCAGACTACATAACTTTTGTCCTTTACTCTTTCATTAGTATTATCCATGTTTCCTAAACCACCAGTAGTTCAATCATGGAGACTCAAATAAATGACAAGTCATTGTAGTATTAGACTTAATTCATATTAGAGTTTCAGTCTTGGATCAGTGGTATAAACTATAGTCTTTCAAAACCTAACATTAAGAATCTCACAACATGCAAGAATGGATAAAATTTCATGAATGGTATGCAGAAGATTTGTTCATGATATAGTTCATAGAAGAGCTGTCTCCTTTTCTTATGTGTATTACATCCACTTCAAGGCTGGTTCTGAAGGCTTCGTAGCATCAGCTTCTTCCAACTTCCAAAAATACATATCTTTCAGTGTGGCCTTCCCAACTTTGGTTTTCATTGCATGTAACAATGTATATGACTTCACATCTAACAAACAGAAATGATACTTTGATATCTCTCTGAACATCTTTTGGCTTGCTTAAACCCTCCCAAGAATCATAAAACCATTAATGGGTATTTCTACTTCAGTAGGAATCTCCATCACAGTCTGAAGGTTCTTTTCTTTTCACTTTTTTGGTTGGAGGAGGGGGGAGTTGGGGGTACATAAATTTCATATGTTTTTAGACCAACTGTGTCAGTTATAACTTATATCTAACAGACTGCAAAAGATCTGGAGTTGGGACCCCTTTTATCCCTTCATCTTTACATAAGGGCAACATTGGTGATAAACAACAGCAGCAACAGAGCCTTAATCCCAAAATGATTTGGGGTACACTAACATGAATCGTCATAAGGAACCATCCACAAAAAATGGAACAAAGATAGAAAAGTTATAAAATGAACATGGACAAAAGAACGAGAGAAATCTTTTAGAGCAAAAGACAAGGGCAGTGTAAAGTGAAAACACAAAATGAGAATACGGAGTATAAAAATAAAATTTGAGAAAGTTTCATAAAAGAGGGCTATATGAAGATAAAAAGAAAGGATAAACATGCTAGTAAAAATATACAGAAAAAGTATGAGGAAAAAAAAAAAAAAAAAAAAAAACTCAAAAAACATTACTTTAATATCAGCTAATGGCTCTAACAAAAATCAATGTGCTTCAGCTTGTTTACAAGGTCACCATGGTTCTGCTAAAAAGCTCAACAAAACATTATTCAATAAAGTTGAATACTTCATATATACTTAAACCTCATGTAAAGTCAACAACTCAGCTGGCTCATTTATGAAATGGAAGTGTACAACAGTATAAGATACTAAAGGAGCACATAATGACAACATACCAGTGACACATGAATCAAAGCTTCATCCAGAGGTGCAGAGAAGTCACCGAATCTATTGATTCCTTTTCTGTCACCAAGTGCTTGTAGCAAAGCCTACATCAAGAAAACAAGAAATTCTAATGTAAAAAGCATTTAAGCTGAGTTTTAATCTAGATTTTAGTTGAAACAGCCAGCAATACAACTGCAACAAACTAAACTCATAGACTCGATTGAAAATCAATTCATAGCGACCCAATAAAGCAAAAAACAATTTATTAGACGTAATTGTGCAAAATAACACAATAGCATTACTAGCTATTAAAAGTACCTAGCACATGAAGAGTTTGGATTAAATTTCATGGAAGATAATGATTAATACCCACACAAAAAAATAAAATAAAATAAAATAAAATAAATAATTAAATAAAAAAGAGGACCTAATTTCGAGCATACCGTTCCAAGGGCAAGCGCGACATCTTCATTAGTGTGATGATCATCAATATGAATATCACCCGTAGCTCTCACATGTACATCAAATAGCCCATGTGAAGCCAATTGCTACATACACAAAAATCCATAATCAGAATATCTTCAGCCTTCAGAAAACAAAGAAAAATATAATAAGCAAATAAGATATGAAGTTACTGACATCCAACATATGATCCAGGAAAGGGACTGAAGTGCTGCTATCAGTAACCCCTTTACCATCCAAGTTTATCTTCACAAACACATTTGTCTCTTTAGTTACTCTCTTCACCTCCCCAATTCGCCCAACTAATCAAAACACCACAAAAAGAGAGATAATAATCAAAAATCAAAAACCTGATAAAATGTACTTCGTATTAATTAAAGATTGGGCAACTAAAGTCAACTTCAATATCTTAGCTACTGCAATATTTTCAATATGTAAAACATAAAAATTGAACAGAAAATGAGAGAATAAATAGTGAAGATGATCACCAGTGTTTTGGGAGGCGGAAGTGGCAGGAGAGCCATTGTCATCTGTCATTGAAGCTCGAGAAGTTGCAGTAACTGAGTTCGTTAATTTGAGATTCTTAGAAATGGGGTTGTTGAAGATGGGTAATTGAGCAGGGAGATGGAGAGTGGTTGGAGAAACCCTAATTTTGGGGTTGATGAAGTGACAACCACCGGGTGTACAGAGTGCCATAAAATGAGAGATACCACCGGGAGCGACTGCAGAAAGACTTGAGCCCAAACCTATTCTTTTAATAACACATTAACAAATGTTATCACATAAAATGTTGACAGATCTAATATCATATATTCATATCATATTTATAAGACTTGGATATTATAAAGAAAATAGGATCAGAACTTAGCACTTTTAAAATGGAGTTGCAAAAAAATCTTTTCTTGAAAGGCTGAAAGAAAAGCAAACTTACATGAAGTAACCCCAAGAGAGTAAATTATTTATATTACCAAACAACTTTCATTAGTTAATTCAGCACCCATTCTTTTCAAAATATCATTGGTAGGTTACTATCTACCCAAAATCAATAACAAGATATTTCCATTTCGAAGATCAAAGTTACACAATCCCTTTATACCAGAATTATCTAACAATACACAAGCTCAACCAAAATTATGAGAAAAATGAATGAATAAAATTTTTAAGCTAAGAATATACTCAATATTACAAACTGCATCCAAAATAAGTTGAACATACACAGAGCATGAACAAAACTTTAGGCTAGTGACTAATCCATAAATTTCAACAGAAAAGAAAAAAAAAAAAAAAATTCAAAATCAGTATCATTAACCAACTCTTTATCGATTACAACACATTAGAAACCAAATTTGATTCAAGTAGCAAATTAGGCTTATAAGTTAGGTATAATTTCATAGTTCCATCCTAACATGAAGGCAAATTTGATTCATAGGTCGAAAAATCACATAAGTTTCTAAACTAGCAACAAAATCGTATATTATGATGTATCATAACCTTAGTGATTATAACCAATAGTTCAATAATCCACTTTAGAAGAAACCTAAATTGATTATACTGATAATAAACTAACGATAAACCCTAGATTGTGAGACTGATATTCACCTCAGAATCTGCTTCGATGAAGAATGGAAATATCAGAAGTCGCTCAACGGAGCCCGTGGAGTGCGCTTAACTGAGAGAGAGGAGGACCTTTTTGTTTCTGATTACTTACTGATGCCACCCAGTTTCACGAAATGAAAAACAAATTTCAAAAGGTTAAATTTGTAAAATTACAGGTGAAATGGCTATTTGTTTACGAAATTGCCAGAAACATACATACTTGAGTAGTGTTTTGTTTCACATGTTGAAAAACTTGGAATTTCTCTAATTTATTTCATTATTTGCTTACTTTTTGTCCAATCATCCAATAACCCTCCGTTTCTAAATAATTGACACATTTGACTTTTACTAACTTTAACCATCATTTTTTAGTAACAAGCACAAATTTATCACGAAATATATTTTTAAATAGGTATTAACACTAGCTATGTTTCATATTATTTGCAACTTTAAAGTATTATTATTTGTGAGATATAAAATATGTGGACAATTTTAACAATTACCATATAGCTATGTTTTTATATAGCATATAATGCACAAATATTGATCAAAATTATGTATGTGAATAGTGCAAAAATCAAAATGAGCACTTAATCAAAATCGTCACATTCGCCACACCATTTCTTTCCGACCTTCGCCTCCTAAACCAATTATTAGGTAATGTGATCTTTAGGAAGCAATTGTCACCTTTGATGAATTGTAAAAGTGAATAATAATTCATGTCATGTTTGATGAATTATTGTAAAAGTGAATTCATGTCACGTTTGATAAATTGTAAAAGTTTAGCTATCAATGATAATTAGAACATAAAGAGTCGTGCCCAGTTGATCTGCCAGATCAACGAAAATTGTTTATCTGGGGGTATAATCGTCTTTTTATCTACCAAGTGAGGGATACATGCTTGGACTTGTGGTGTCTAGATGGAGTAACAAAGGATTATCTTGTTATGGTTAGACTACGACACTACACCAAGGTTTTACATTTAGTCCATTTATCTTTGTAGCAGCATTAGATTAACTATCAAGGTTTACCCATGATGAGATACTAGGGTGTATTTTTGTAAATTATATTGGTGGACGAGACCAAAGTTTGGGTTAATGCTAAATTGGAGCAATGGAAGCAACAAAATTAAGTATATGGAATATTGTTTTAAGACTAGGAGAGAGTCAAGCAAGGATGTAACGACATTAAATAATAGATTTGCTTAAGAGTGATTGTTTTAAGCACCTTAGGAGTCCAAAGGTCGAATCCGTAGAGGAATGGAGAAATTGACCAAAATGTTAACCAATTATACCATTGAAGTTAGAAGTGAAGACTCTATCAAATGATTATTTGACAAGCATTGTTGTATGGGTTGGAATGTTGATGTTTATGTTAATTTTGAGCAATGGAGGCAGTTGTTAGAGTCTAGAGGGTTTAGACTAAGTTGAAGAAAAATTGAGTACATGGAATATTGTTTTAGCACTAGAAGGGAGTCCAGAGAGGATATAGTAGAATTAAATGATGAAGAGTTGCCTAAGAGTGAAAAACTTTAACCTTTGGTGTCCTCATGTGAACTTTGTTGAGAAACTGACCACGATGTTCTCCACATATACCTTTGGTGTTAATGTGAAAATTCTATTGGATGACCATGATACTAGCATCATTGTGTGAATTGAAATGTTATAATATAAGAAAGATATGATTAGTAAAGGTATGTATGTTTGAGAATTTTGAGGTAGTATTATGGGGACCCCTAAAAGAATAGAATTAGGAATGACGATATTAGGAGGAAAGTTGGAGTTGTAAAATTAGGGAGAAACTATAACATTGGTTTAGGTATGCGAGTTATATAATTTGAATGTGCTCTGGTATGTAAAAGAAGTCAGGGAGATTGAATATGATGAGATAGAAATAGTTAAGGTGTATATATCACTTGAGGAGAAGGGAGCGGAGGGAAGGGGATCATGGCTGACGACCATTGGAAATTAAATCTTCTTCATGCAAACGACCCCATCATTGAGACTATGGTTGGACATCATTGTTGGTATGTTGCAAGATAGCTTGTATACAATATGGTATAATGTGAAATATATAGTGAACCTCGTGTAAACTGCTGTACCAACGATTGTTTTTTAATGTTGTATATTTGCTTTTATTTTATTTATTATTTATTTTTATTAGTGAACCATTTCCTTATTTTAGAATTCGATAAAATGTAGTACCTATTGGTTGTTGCTGTATTTGCTTTCAGGAAGTTGCAAGCCAATTAGTTTCATAGCACATGTTTGAACCAATTTTGGCTAAATTGGTATGTTGTAAGCTAATTGCTGTATAATTTTGAGTTTTGATTTTTGAGACTTTCACTTTTCTTCAATCGAATTTACTTAATTCAAAGAATTGTATGTTTATTTAGTTTTAAGATTGCAATGGACTTGAGCTATTCATCCTTCGATAATGTGGTTTCGGATGGTGATCTGGATTTGGTAATAACAGTTTACACTTGAACTTATTATGGTAAACCCACTTGAACTTTTACTAATTATTACTTTATGGTAACAACTTTAGGCATTGGGTCTAAGCTAAAAAAGGAGAAGGGATGGTAAGCAGGTATGAACGGATACCCATATTATTCAACCTGTGTTTTAATTAAAGAGCTTGTGATGATTCATGTTACATATCGAACTAGGTTTATAGGACAACATCGAGTGTTAGAACTAATAGGAAGCTTGTAGAACTTAACCCTGAGATTTTCGAGGTATAGCAAAGTTTATTTTACGATGTATGATTCTGCCATTATTATTATTATGAAGTTTATATTGCGAAGTTATGTAGGTTGCTTATCGCTTGTATTGAACAGGATGATCACTTGATTGTGAGTGGTTTAGTTAAAGCTAAAGGTGAAGTCTTGCTATATCAAGCAAGAGGTAGGAGTAAGGTTCGTTAATGTTTATTATCTAAGTTGTAAAAATGGTAAGACCATTCTAAGTTGTAAAAATGGTAAGACCATTGGTTTCTATTTTGGATTTGGTTGACCCAAATTTTTGGTATTGACATGTATTGCAGGCACCAAATTTAACATGCCAATTGAGTCATTCGGTAGAATATGTAAGAAGTTGGATGTAAGAAGAAGGAAGTGGGTGCACGACATGGGATTTGGGGGACTACTTTACTTAGCATCAGGCATGCAACTTCCTATACTGCTAGCCTATTAGCTATTGAGCCGTGTTGATCCAATAAACAAGATTCTAATGTCTCATGATGGTAAGAAGTTAAAGTTGTCCCAGAATCAAGTCCATTGGGTTTTAGGCCTTCCAAACAATGGCAAAACTGTACCATTAAAGAAGAATGTGGGTGGAGAGTTGCGTCTGAAGGTTGAAACGTTGTCGAACAAATGCGCAATCTTGGGAGACCACAAATAGCAAATATAAAGGAAGGGTATATATTGGTAAAGGGATACACGTTAACTCTTGCCTGATGGAACGAGTTGAGGGTGAGTGGGAAGATGACGAGGAAATAGAATTTAAGACAATATTTCTCCTTTTATCCCTACACATGGTTCTTTGCCTGACTCAGTCCCCACGATTGTCGTCTAATCTTATCCCTACACTCACGTGTGCAATGGAATGTGATCAGTATGACTGGTGTGACCTTGTATTCATAAAATTTATTGGTAGTTTCATGAGCTTTTCAAAAAGGTTTTATGCCACAGGCTATGCTGGTGGCAGCGGGGTTGTTTATTGTTCATTGTGGTTAGTGAACTGATATCGTTCGAAGTATACATTGTGAAATATCTTTCTACCATGTACAAACAATTAAAAAATTTTGTGTGTAGGTTTATTATTTGGACCATTTGAATAGAGACCCTTTAAGGTGGTCTGTTTTTCCAAGGTTGAGTGTATGGGATTCCCGGGATAGTGACTGTCCTTTTATCGGTATCCATTTTCCGGTAAACATTAGTTATTTCAAGTATTGTTTAAGATGTTTTGTTATATTATTGTTTTTGTGGTTTGATATGTACCCACATGTCACCAGGTTTGTGCTTTTGGATCAGCGAAAACGTCGCATGTGAAGCCTTGGAGGAAATGGAGACCGAATCGCACTAGGGAACCCTAGTTTGCAAAGTGTATCGCTCCTACAAATGGGAATGTCAGTATAGACATATATAAGCCAATCCTAGAGGAAGATATTCACGATGATTCAACGTCTGCGGCTAGTAACTCCACTCGTACTCTAACGTGGTAGTTTGGATGAGTAAACATTATAGTCAGTTAGTTGTGACGTGATAGCATTAGTCTCTAACACATTTGCAACATGTTAGTAAGTTATTACATTTATGTGATTAGCGGCATTATACTCTATAAAATGAGAATTATTTATTACTTTGCTATAGTCATTATATTGGTATAGTTTTTACGCAATAGTTTGTATGAGACACATCTAAATTCGTTTGGGCTAATGTTATATACTATAGGACCCACATATTTAAAAGAGTGTTTAATTTCTTTACTTCAAGGCCCATAATCCTAACTACGTTGGGTCACTTTTGAACCAGTCACATATACTACAAGAATGCGAATTCATTTGGCCCATATGTTATACAGACCACTATAAAGGGCATAATTTTCTACTTTGACTGGCCCATATTTGATTAAGTCCATACATTATATAGGGTCCATATATCCAATTCAATTGACATTATGAAGCAAAGTCCATATTATGAGCATGCCTTTAAGAAGCCTATTGGGTTTTTGAACTTAACGCCCAAACACATGTTACTTGACATTATGAATAATGGGATAATGTTATACATGCAACAAAAGCAAAATTTAATGGGACATGGACTGTCACACATGCAAATGGACTGATCATGACAAGGAATTAGAAATATGGCCCAAAATATTTATAAATTGAAACATCTCATTTATAATAATGATAGAATTACTACAAAACTATCGACATTAGAAATAGGGGCCAAAACATTTATAAATTGAAACATCTCATTTATGATAATGATAGAATCACTACACAACTACAGACATTTGACTACTAAACTATCGCCATATTTCAGCTCTTTATATCATCTATGTCGTTTGTCGCACTAAATTTTATGTCACTATTAAAGACTAACAACGTAACTCTGCCTTTAGCTTCTTTATTAGAACTCCCATACATTGCAAAGCCATTTTGTTTTTTGA